CTGAAGCTTGCACTTGAGCATATTTGAACACATGCTTAATTTTAAGTATTTGTCCAGGAGATTTTAAAAATCAGTATCTTGCTCTTTGAATAGTTTTTTTCACAGACTTTACAGTATTACCAGGTGAGGCAAACCCTACCAACAGTCAACATACTCTTAGCTCACTCTCCAGTTACCATTATGTACTATCATGACACTGGAAAATACTGATAATATAGCATGAGGAAGGAATATTTACCATTAACACTGTTCTTTTTGGTAGTGTCTTTTTACTGACCTGTGACTCTCTCAAAGCAGCATGCAGAGCATTGGGCTGTAAATTAAGAAGGAGGGATTCAGCAGAGTCAAGCCTTTAATTCACTGTCTGATGATGAACGGGATACTTAAAAGTCTCCTGGCTTAAAATTAATGGGGTTTCCTGTTTTAAAGTGATTTAAAAATTATAAATGGAAAATTCCATGCAGAGAAAAAGTAGTATTAGTAGTAATAATTTATTCATTACGTCTGTTTTGACATCTGATTGCCAGGACACCAAAATGAACAAATGCTTCAGATTTGCTTGTCATCAATGAATGTCTTCACAGCCTGGCTGAAAACAAAACAGATTGTATCATTATCTAATATTTTTTACGATGCATGAAGTGTACTTGCACTTAAAAGCTGATGCCTTTTATTATAGAACACAATAAATACACCTGCACAGAAGCTATGTGTGTCTTTGGCAGGTATGAATAATGATCTTAAAACCACTTAGAATAGGTGTAAATCTCGTAGCTATATGCCTGATGTTTGTTTCCTCATTAGCAGAGATGATTTGAAAGGCAGATGTTCTTCTTCTTGAAAATCTGAGATACACTTCTAAACTCCCATATTGTTTGTACCTACAGATGAAATTAGAACTTCCTCCTATTGTCTTTGTCGTATGTCCCATCGTCCCTAACTGACGCATATTGTATAGTCTACTCATTTCAAACAAGGCTATGGCGTTTTCAAGATGAAACTGTTTCTAAAACTAAAAAATGGCCGAAATCCAAAGATTATTATCGCCTCATCCATTCCTTGTAATGTTGCATGAGAGAATTTTCCGTATCACAGGCACACTTTCCATAGTCTTTTCTTTGATTTCACACTAGCAAGAGATGTTATTGTGGCACTTTGTTATGATTGAGACTAACTTGTAAATTATCTTTAAAATTTAAATGCGAATTGTAATTCAATGGCTATGACTTGATTTGCATGATTTTAAGTACCATTAGGGCTGGAAATCTTATAAATTACGTATTACATTCTGACTTTGGTGTTCAAAGAAATCCCATTCAAAAATAATTATGTAAAGTTTGGGATGAAGACACAGAATGTCCCAGCTTTTTACTTAAGAAATCAATTTTTTAACAGAGCACGTATAGCAATGTTGAAAGGACATTTCTGACTAGCTCTACTCTAATGAGATCAATTCAGCTCTTACTTTATCGTGAACAAAATCTTTTATTTCTTTCAAATAATTGTGCTAATTGCCAGGAAACATGAATATTTGGGTGCATACAAGATTTTACAAGTCAAATGAGACTGAGAAGGCCAGACGTGTGTGGAGTGAGTTTTAATTGCTGATCATTCAGGCATTCTTTCTACCTTTGTAACAATACCAAAATAAGGACGTAGACAAAACAATTGCAATCGACATATTTTATACTGAAGGGAAATAGCTTTTTTATGAACCATAGAATTAATCTGTGGAGTTTATTGCCATAGCTGTCCCAGAATATAGTACCCTTTTTTCTCAAAACTAGATTAGACATTTATCTATGTATAAAATAATGTTTGCAATTACATTATATCTGCAGGATAAAAATGATCACAGTTACAACCTTTATTTTTTAGGTCATCAACCAATCACTAATTCAATAATTCCACGAGTTATGGGAGAGGGAACTTAGTTTGGGCAGATATTACTCCACAGTTGGAGCATTCAAGCATTGGAACAGGCTGCCCCGAGAGGTGGTGGAGTCACCATCCCTGCAGCTGTTCAAAAAATGGGCAGACATGGCACTTTGGGACATGGTTTAGTAGGCACAGTGGTGTCGGGTTGATGGTTGGACTGACAATCTTAGAGGTCCTTTCCAACCTTAGTGATTCCTAGTTTTGCTTTCATTAAAAAATAATCCAGCCCCCAAGCCAGGAAACATTAAATTAATTGTTACTCTACCCTTAATTGGTTTAGTGGTGGGCTTGGTAATGTTAGGTTAACAGTTGGACTGAATGATCTGAAAGGTCTTTTCCAACCTAAACAATTCTATGATTCTATGATTCTATAATTATCAATAATGCAATTTCACGGACTTTTCTCTTTGATGTCGTAAAATAGAAGAAGGGACCACACAGTGGTATTATAAATGTGTACACCTAGTCTTTTTTTTTTTTTCTTTTCTTCTTCTTTTCATGGACAGTATAGTGTATAGATTATATTGTCTTCAGTTTCTGGGTATATTCCAAGTATTGATGATAAGAATAACAAATATATGCATTTGTGAGAACATCTTATCTGACTACTGGAATAAGTCACCCAGGTAGGTTGTGGAGTCTACCTCCTTAGAGATATTCAAAAACCATCTAGACATGATCCTGGGCAACTGGCTCTAGGTGGCCCTGCTTGAGCAGGGGCGTTGGACAAGGTGACCTCCAGAGGTCTTTTCGAACCTCAACCATTCTGTGATATTGTAATTCTCGAAGATAAGTAGTCCAGTAGTTCTAGTGTCTGAAGTTCTAACTAGTGGTGACGATGGCTTTTTTTCCTCTCTACAGCTATTTTCTTTAGTCTAGCTCTAACAAAGTTCTGCTTGCCACAGGTTTAGTTGATATATACACTTTTTTTTGCCATGCAAAAAAATCACCTTGAATGGATTCCAAAATGTAGAGGTATATTTATGGTTGGGAAACCATTTGGTTTTTTTTCCCTCAAGATTTAGAGACATTAAGTCTAATGAAAAGAAGCAATTGTATTTAAATTTAAATGTATTCTCCTCTCCTTTTCAGGGTGCGCAATGATTTTGATGTGCTTACCAATCGATTGATTGGCAGCCATGGCTATTGTACTCAGGTAAGTTAAGCGTGCGGTCTTGGGGATGTCATACACCTCTGCATGCAGAGCTGTGAACTGACCTCTGGGAAGAGATGGCATTTCTTATTTTAAGTTCCTTATGTTTTTCCTTTTTTCCCTTAATGTCAAGCATCTTCATCCTTTATTCTTTTTTCCTTGTGTTTTGGCATATTGTTGTCTTTGCTTTCAGACCTCTGCTTTTTGGCCTGGTTTTCTGGCCACACATGTCTGTACCTGTGTGTGCATGTGCTCATAACTCCTCTCATCTGCCTCTTTTGAACTCCTTAGTTGATTTTAGTGCTGAGATACTGCTGAGGCTGCAAACTGTGTTTCCTTCCTGCCATTTCTGAAAGGTGACTGAAGTTGCATGGCTGATCGTACAGCTCCTCTGTAAACAGCTAATTGGGCTGATGCTGACTGAAGCTAACTGGTACTTCAAACTGGAGACACTGATTTATTATAGGTTTGTCTAAAAGACATGTGGTGCTTGAAAATAAACAGTCTGAATTGCTGTCTGACACTTAGGACCACAACTTTATGTAGTCTAAATTCCAGCTCATGTCCTGTACCAAATGTCTCCCACTGGCTCTAGCCCTGCGGGGGCATCCACCCCGTTGGAAACACTTTGCCTTGGAACATAGGTGTAATGTAGACCCCAAAATTCTGTGACATGGATTCCCCCAAAGCTGGGACATGGACAGTTGTGTGGTCTGATTATGGTCCACAGCTGTTAAATGTAATGCCATTTTGACTGCAAAAGGCAAGCTTCATGTTCTCTTGTACTGTTGCTAGAAGACTTTCATACTGTGGTTATGTTATAATTCCTCAAGAAGGTGGTGGAATGTCACTGGTGGATTAGAAGTTCTAAAAACATCAGTAAGGACCTATAAACTCTGGGGAGTCCTTCAGCAGAAACATGGGGCTATAAATGTGTGCAGTATTTTTAAAATCATACATCAAGTCCAAACTGGCAATACCAATGTTATTCATGTCTTTGGGCATGGTAATTCGGACTATTTTTTCTGGAAGCTTTCTTCTTATTATTTTCCCTCATGTTTCTTGACATATGTTATTTATTAATAGTTAGCTGGTTCATTGCTGTAGCACAGTCTGCTGCTAGATATTGTTACGTGCTGTTACATCCTAGCTGGCCCTTGTGGGATCTGATGCTAAGCAAAATGTCTGGTGTCTCTGTTCCTTGAACTTTAAACACACTCGCGTGCACACATGCACCCATACCCACCCTCTCACATGTATTTAGTCTCTGACACACCTGTACTTCTAGTTCAACTGGAGAGGAAATAATCAACAATCTGCTATAGTAAGCATGAGTATATTAGTGATATGGGCCAGATGTGAAGCCATACGGGTGAATGTCTTATTGAATCGGACTTAAGTTCATCCAGAAATAATCAGTGAGAAAAAAAATCTTCTAACAAATCTTGTCCAACTTACAAAATGCATCACTAAGCACATGCAGAAATATCAGATAGTGCTGTACAGGCTTTTAATTTATATCATTCATGCTGTAGCTTTCACTGTAGAGAAAAAGGGACATCAAAATGTTTTAATTTAAAAAAAAAACCTAACACTAATGTGAGAAGGTTGAGAGTTTTTTGTAAGATTAAATAGATTATCAGCAGTTGGAAAAGATGAACATTGAAGACTCTGCTAATATTTCCTCATTTTACTTTGGGAGTAGACTTCCCCCAAAATATCTGGAAAAAAATTTATAAGCAATCCTAATCCCAAGCCTAAACTTAAAGCCATCACATAAGGTTTGGTACATATGTAACTTTGTCAATCCTGAATCAATCTTCTACTAATGTCTGGTAGAGACAAGACATTTAACTACTGGGTTTTTTTGTTTTTTTTTTAAACATGTCACAAACAGGAATTGGTGAACTTACTTTTGACTGGCAAAGCTGTGTCTAATGTTTTCAACAATGTGATAGAGCTGGACTCTGGAAATGGCAATATTACAATTTTGAAAGGTATCACAAGCCGCAGTGATATTGGTTTGCTGTCTCTCTTCGAGCACTATGATGTTTGTCAGGTATGCTTTCCATTCTTCTGATTTTAATTAAAAAGGAAGTGATTAAATTTAAAATTGGCTTGGAGTGAGTATAGCAGCTAAAAAATTATGGGGTGATTCAGTTGCTCACTCGGAGGCATCTAGCGCTGTTTTAGATGCCCCAAGGCAGAGCGGGGTCTCTCTTCTGGATCCAGGTTCTGTGTCACAACTGCCACCCCTGGTAAATGTCTTGGGTAGTCTACAGCATCTCAAATCTTACATGACTCTGCAATTTTCTAACTGATCTCCTGAAGTGGGAGTCAGCTTGCAGACTAACACACTTCTCTTTAAGTGGCTACTGTATAGATCTGTATATGTGAACGAGGACCTGCTCAGTGCAATCTGTGGAGCTGAAAGCTGTTCAGCTGACTAAACATATTTGTGTACTCTAGGCTGAGCTGAACAAGTTCCCCTGACTGTATTCACTAGATCTCCACTGATTATAGTGGAGGTGACATTGAGCTCACATATGGACACCTATATCTTAGTCATGCATATATAAGCAACTGAATCTGGAGCTGAAACTCACTCTAAGTATTGAGTTTTCCCCAAGTTCCAATGTGATGGGCAGCCAGATTGATTGAATCATCTACTCCATGCTGTAATGGTGGTCATATTGTATTAGCAGTAAAAAAAAAAAAGGCAATTAAAATAGCTGTCAATATAATGCGAATGCTCCCTATAACATGTTTTGAAATTAGTATTTTAATTGTAGTCATATGAAAATTAAAAGATAGATTAAAAATTTCAAAGAAGTGACAGCCATTAATTTACCTCTAGTAAAACTTGTATAAGGATTTCACTGGTTCTCCATCAACAGACCTTGTCGTCAAGATGGACATCTTTCCTAAAGACATATTCTATCTTAAACATACAGTCTTGTGTTTGATGCAAGGATATTATTTGAAATTTTCTGGCTCGTGTTAGGTGCTAGATTAGATAATTGTAACTGTCCCATCTGGATTTGCAGTGAGTGCCTCTATAAAAATTTGAAAGTGATTAGCAAAGAATTTTTTTATACTGATCTAATATAAACGTGTGACTGAAAACAAACCTTGATTTTAACTGTTTCCCATATGGCTAAAGTCAGTTGCATTTTCCTACTACTGACAAATTATAATTTTTGTTATTTTTAATTAACACAATTCTTTACATTATTCACAGGATTATAATAAGGCTTAAATTCAGTCAAGACAGCATATCAGTGTATCCAAATCAGATTAATTCAGAACAAACTGGACTAAAATAAATTAGTTTCTGTGTCTAGTTCAAGCTCCTTGACCTTTTCTATAAACAATGTAACATTTGAAACCTCAAAAAATGGTTATGCACCACTGCAGCATTTTTTCCATTCTCTAGTGAGGAAAATGACTTCTAAGTAGCAAAATGGTAAGTGAGGTCAGTGCAGGTAAGAGCTATTTCTTTCCCATCTGCCCTCTAAAAATAAAATAAAAAGTTACCCGGAGAATCAGACACCATCTTCCCCTTATTCTGCAAATTATACAGTGGAGGCGGTCTGTTTCTTCTAGTACTGTGCTCTTGCATGGGAGCTGGGCTCATGAGCAGTGATCTGTTTTCCAAGCCAGTGACTCTTAATCAGTTACAGAAACTCCAGTAGACACAGTTTCCTTTTTTTCAGTCTACACTAGTTAGGTATCTGATGCAAATTGTCTTGCTTTTTATTAAGAACATCTGCGAGTGCTCCGCATTTCAGTTCATACGTCTCAGTGCATGCTGCAATGACTGCCTTAGGACTAGGACAAATGTCAGATTCTGGTGGAGTTCAGCCGCAAGTCTGGGGAGTCTCCGCTCTGGCCGCAGCATGAGGGACCGGATTCTGCTTTCTGTTACAAAGATAGAAGTTTAGAACAATTTAGAAAAAATAAATGTCACTGACAGTTTGCAGTAGTGGAACTGAGAATAGCATTTGCCTCTAAGTCTTTCAAACTGACTCTTTTCTTCCTCTCAGTGTTTTGGTAAGTGGATTCAGCATCCAATTACATTGCGGCTATGAGGATGGTAACTGAAACCAGTAATGGAAAAGGACTGTCATTTTTGTTTGGTGTTTTTTTTCTTTTGTTTCCAGGAGTAAGAAAATCCTGAGCATGATATATGGTGAATCATAGACATCAGAGTTGGAAAACTCCCTTTAGGTCCTATCTAGCCAACCTCCCAGGGGATAATTCAGGATATTTTTATGTCCTGTTATATAGTAGGCTTTCTTTTAAAAATCTGTATCCATGAAGTTCCTGCCTTTCTGTTCAGATGGCCATTTATTAGCTGACTGTAGTGCACATAACTGGGATCTTGCCTTTTTTCTCACACGTTTCTGCTTTAAAATATGAGGAAGTGCAAATACATATCTGCAGGTACCTGTGAATGTGGAGGTTTTAATATCTACTACACAGCTTATGCTTTGGATATACTAATATTAAATCTGGCTGTTCATTTACTTAGTTTCCTCTGATTATCATTCTTACTTCTAATCCAACCTGCCCCTTAAAAAATTCATCCCCATGCGCTAGACATTTGCAAGCTGATGTAATAGATTCTCCCTTTTTCATCAGTACATGTTGTCCAAAGCTTATTTTTATTGCTCTACTCTAGACTTCTTCCAACTTCCAACACATTTAGGAAGAGCATAGGCAAGATTCCAGGCTAGATGCAGTAAATCCTCATAGAGAAAGATTTCTATACCATTTTTTCTCCCTTGTCTATCTAATATGTGGAGTATTTGTATATAATCCACAAGTTCCTTGGCATGTCTGCTGAGTTGAAAGTATCAGGAGGGCATGAGAACTGAATTAATCCTGTCAAATCTCAACAACAGAAAATCAAAACAAAATGATCAGTCCCCGGTGACTGCCTGAAGAATCCCTCTGTTGCTGATCCAGTAATCTCTTTCAGTGGATCATGCCTTTGCTGATTGGAAAAATGCGTGCTTCATGTAATTTGTCCGGAATTGTTAATGTCTAATCATCACTCCTAGTCCTAACATATCAACATACTCAGTATGTTATTTGTAATGTAATTACTTGTTGCAAATTGTTTCACAATGACAAATTGATTAATTCAATCTAATGCATATGTAAACATTTAGTTTCATAGTAAGATTCCATATTTTAATGCAAAAAAAGCCAAAAGTCCAATTCTTTTACATTTCTGTAGGCAACTTACACATCTTTGGATTTCTTTTCTTTGTGCTAAGCCCATATTTAAGCTATACTAATTCTGTCTGATCTTAGATATTTAACTAAGAGGCCTAAATTGAGATTTTAGGTTACTTGGGAATTCTTTAGTGCTTTTAAAGCAATAGAAACATTTCCAAAAGCTGGTCAGCCCACATAAAATTGGTGCAGGTTTTCCTCTGTTTGCTAGGCTGCAGCGTGCAGCAGTTCAGCAGTAGTCTCATGGAAGCTGAGTTGTTTCTGCAGCAGGGAAAAGACCTCAGAGAAGGGGGTGAGGCACAGAAGTGGGCAGGACCAATCATAGCAGTCGTGAGTGAGAAAGTCCCTGCTTTTGGTCAGAGTCTTTGGCCTAAATGCCATATTAAAATTGCAGGTGAAAAAACTTTGAATGATGAAATACTCTCTTCAAAACTTATTGTGATGTTAAAAGTAGAAACAGATGCTAACAGATGCTCCTCATATTTATAGCAGATCATTTAAGAGACTTAACAGCAACAAAAGAGAAAAATCATTTGCACTCTCATCTGAAGAATTTTAAAGATACTATTGTTATTGTTGTTCTTGTTATTATTATTAATAACAATAATAATATCTAGCATTTATGTGTCATTTCCTGTGAATAGATCTGTGCTTTGCAAAAGAAGCAAGTTTCATTACCATTTTACAGGGGAGGTAACACACGAACAAAAGTCAAAGTGCTTATCCCAGTAAGTCATCCAGTAAGCTAGTGGCTGAACTGGAAGGAGAGTACAGGCCTTCTAAATCTCTCTTTCTAAAGTTAGTATGATACTGGCTGATGAATTTGGCCATCCTTCTGAAATGCTTTTTGAAAGCACTTTAGGTATGTGCTGTTGTACGTGAAGTAATGGAAGTATTCAAGATTACTTGTCTCTTGTTACTTGCACCTTGACTCTGATTCTTTGTCTTTACTCATTCTTTCCTGCTTTTAACCTGTCCTTCTATAGTAGTTAAAGCTCCTATCATCTGACCTCCCAGACTCACCCTACTCTGATTCTTGACAATGTCGAGTCTCTGCCTCAGTTGTCAGCATTTCAAGAGACTGATGCTTTTTAGTTTCTGAATATGAAGAGAGAATGTGGCATTGACAAAGAAGTTACGTGCTCATTTTTCCTATTTCTTTTCAATAAGAGAGGGAAACATAAATAAACAGAATTTATTTATTAAAATTCCACAGATGGGAAATATTATCTTTGGTCCCTTTGATGAAACCAGCACACTCTGTGCTATAACAAGACCTACTTGAATTATTAAATTCAGCATATATGCTCTGTCTTCTGGCACCTCACCTGTTTATTTGCCCTGTGGAACATCCTTCCTATAACCTTCGCTGGGAAATATGTCTGCTAAACAGGCGCCTTTCTCAGTCAGATGGACTGGATTCAAGCCAGGTCATTGGTGGGGTTGCGGAGGGGGAAGTTTAGAAAGCGGTTTTTAAACCATCTTGTTTAAGAAACCAACAACAAAAATATGCGTGTGCAAAATGGAAACTGATGGTTGGTTCTCATTTTCCACTTATTTTTCAGTAATGGGTATGCGGTAGACATTGTGCCACATAGATGCATTCGGCCAGGGACCCTGCTATTTATGTAAGATATTTGTGAGCGCCTGTGTGGGCAAAAACGTGTGATACATAGAAGTTTGACTGAAACAAGGCTGACAAGGCATTGGCTATTTAGAAAGTCTGTCCTTCATTCCTTGTTTTTACATCTCCCTTTCTAGCCTGAAAATGAAATTTTCTTTGAAGAAGTACTATTGTCCTCCTACTTATCCATG